ATATATATATATATATATATATATATATATATATATATATATATATTTGTCTACTTGGTATAACCAAATATATATTTAGATTGAATATATATATATAAAATGTGTGTGTGTGTTGTGTGTGTGTATATATATATATATATTCGCAGATTTTCACGGTACAGGTATGCAGGTCTTGGCGTATTCGGGTCTTTTCGCGTATAAGAGTATAAGATTGAGAGTATCTTGGCGACGTTTCGATGAGGTCCCACTTGCCATCTTCAGGCTGGTGCCTTCGGCTTTGTGCTTGTGCGAGCAAAGTGTGATCGGAGCTGCCGTCTTTCTATAAATATTGGTGGGAGTGTGTGGAGTGCTGGCGTGTGTGTGCGTGTGCGAGAGAGAGAGAGAGAGAGAGAGAGAGAGAACAAGTGGGAGAGAGAGATAAGAAAGAAGGAAGGAAGGGAAAGAAAGAAAATAAGTGGGGAAGAGACACAAGAAGGAAAGAAGGAAGGAAGAGAAAGAAAGAAAATAAGTGGGAGAGAGAGACACAAGAAGAAAAGGAAGGAAGGAAGGAAGGAAGGAAGGAAGGAAGGAAGGAAGGAAACTTATGATTACAATTGAGCCCAAAATTTTGGTTGCTAAACAAGAGCGTTTTTAAGTGAGTTTCACCACATTTTCCAACTTGGCCATGCCCACAAAGCCAATCCCACCTGGTCACTTGACTGCCGAGCCACTCCCACAAAACAGGCCACACCTACAGAATAGGTTCTAAAAAAATTGAAACCCACCACTGGTTGATTTGCATTTCTAAGTATCATGACCTTTGATCACTGACTTTATTTAAATATAATTTTGTTTAGGTGTTACCTAGATTTGGTATATAAAAGTGGAAATTTTAGTCAAGGCACCCGGACTATAAACCAGGAGATTGTAAGTTCTAGTCTCACTTTAGGCACAAAGCCAGTTGAGTGACCTTGGTTCAGTCACTTTCTTTCAGAAAGAGGCAATTATTTCCATTTCAGAAAAACCTTGCCAAGAAGGGAGCAGTGAAGTCCAGGCAATCTCTGAGAGTTGGACATGATTGAATGGAATAAAAAGAAAGGGAAATTGTGCTTTTCCTTCTACCTTTATTTTTGAAATAAAAAAGAAAGCTGAATTATAGCAGTTTGATTACAACATATTGAAGAGGTTACATCAAGCAAGGCACTATCTATTCTGCCAATTTGTTAGAATTTTATCATTTTCTCTACATTTAAATTACATTTTGAGTGTGGTCTGATGTTTGATATGTTTTTCTTTACATTTTGAAGCATAGCTTTGTTACCGAACTAACTGAAAATTCAGCATTATAATTGGCTAGTCTCTTGCCCTTAAATCTGAATAAAACAGACATTGACATGACCATATTTAATGAGCTGTAATTGTCATTCATTCCTAAAAGATCTGGTGAATGATTCTGTAGAGGTAACAGCTAGGGCTTTTCATTGTAACTGAGAAAGAAATACTGGTAGTATATTTTTCTGGGGGCGGGGAAAGACCAAACATCTTTTATATAAATGCCTAGGTGTGGATGATTTGTGTTGCTCTTAACAAAGAGACAAAGTTGATTTGTAAATGAGCTTGAGCAAAAGCATCACAGGATACATGCGGTGGAATTGGTAATGACATTTTAAATACCTCTAAAAACTAGGCACTTATAGTATCTGAGGAGAAAACAAAGCTATTTGGGAATGCTGAATGAAAAGCATTAGTCATAATATTAGATTAACCTGTATAGCTGTCTTTATTTTAATGGTTTTGCAAGATACTGGAAAGGTCACCCAAGTCCTAATTGACATGTAGTTAGCTCTGCAGAACTTTTGCAGTGTGGTAGTTGTCTCCTCTTCTATCATTTACTCCTCACTACTTCTTTCAAGACTAGGCTTTTCAATTTGAGTCAATTAGGCGGAAGCTTTCTGAAGAAAGAAATGCTAAGAGTAGTAAAACAAACACTTTGCATAATTGGATGAGTCAGTTTGTGGAAATGCTTTCTTCAAGCATCTTTCTGTTAGTTTCAATGTAAGGAATTTAAACATTCAGTATACTGCATTCTATAGTTAGTGCTTCTCTCTGCAGTTGTAACGTTTCTACTGTGTATAATAGGGGATTTTACTTTGAAGGCAAGCATGCTCATTCACCAAAGACAGGAGAAAAGAAAGAAGCAGCATTTCCTTGCTTTAAATCAGTTTCTGTTAAACTTTATGTTAGATACCATCAAATAGTCATGGGCAAGATAATTTTAATGTTGTTGCGCTTTTAGAAGAAGTGTACATACTATTAATAATGTTACATAGTGTTAGACTCAAGTGGCATTCCTTAAATACTTTCAATTGAAGTGTTTCATATTATAATACTTACTGTATTAAAAAAAAAAACCATTGGAGATCCAGGAAACGGCACTACTACATGTAGTTCTTACATGTTTATCCACCATTTTTCAAACAAGGAAAAATATATAATTTTTTAAGCAAGTGTGCTTATTGAACTTAGTATTGATAAAGTCAAGGCTTAATCCACACATTTCAAAGAAATTACTTCTTATTCAAAATTGATGTTGCTTCTTGAGATGTTGCCTGTTTCATGATAAATGAATAAGTCAATGTGAAGAGAATATCAATTCTGTTAAAGTACATATCACATACAATCTATCCCCAGAAAAGAGATAAAGATAAAATGTACTCAAATAAAATTTGACACCTGGGTATTTCATCCATGCAGCTTTTTGGCAACATTATTGATGTTATTGGCCATTGCCTTTTTCTGAAGTGCTTTTCTTCTTAGTCCAACCAACTCCCTGGAGTTCCTATATTGTCTGTCTAGTTTGTCCTTTCATAAAGTGACCCTGCAGGCTCACTTTATGGCAAGATCAATAGATGTGACCACCTCCACATTCCTCAGAAATAAGAACAAATATAGCTGAGCCTGGTTCTGAATATATTAATAATATGATTAATTTCTTTTCTTTATAGGTGCTTTTGCTTGCAAGATGGTGCCATTTGTGCAATCTACTGCAATAGTTACTGAGATACTTACAATGACTTGCATTGCTCTAGAAAGGCATAATGGCATTGTTCACCCTCTAAAAATGAAATGGCAGTATACCCACAGAAGAGCATATACAATATTGGGTAAGGTCCCATATAATTTTATTACTTGTTTTTAACTTTTCTTTCTTTTCTTTAAAGAACATCAAAATATTCATATAATTGAAAGACAAAGATAGAAAGAAAGAAAGCAAACTGTTGAGCTCACACAAATTAGAGTAATAATGGTCTGCAAAGCTGAGTGTTGTCATTACCTTGGCTGCTCATTTTTGTGAAAATGAAAGCTCTTGAGTTCCTTAACCAAAGCTCCTTTTTAAAGGCATTTATCTGCATCTTCTATCACATTAAACATGCCTTATCCCTAGTATACAATGGTGATAACATTGTGTAAAGATGAGAAGAGGAAGAAAAATGTCTAATGATTTTATTTAAATACTTTACTGTAATCCAGTATTTTTTGATTAGTAGTTCATGAAATAATTCTAAATCTCATTCAGACATTTTGGCTAAGTCGGAGCAATGACATTTTGCCCATGCTGTCACCTCTACTTTCTCATTGCTTTATCAGGTCTCCATGTGCAAATAGTATTTTTATTAGATTAATAGAAATAGAAATCCACTTTAATCAACCTAGTAAGTGATGAGTAATTGAAAAGGAGCCAATTTATACTGGGATTTGGTGTGGGGGCTAATGGATATAATTTTCCTCTGAATGACTGGACTGGTAGGGCACAGTACAGAATGACTAATATTGACCGCAAATCATCCACAATGAAGTAACAAATAAAAGTATTTGCATTCAAAAGAGTTTGGACTACTTGAGCATTCTTGAAAGTGCTATTAAGCTACTTATCTTAAATAGAACTTAGCTAGGATGACCTTAGCTAGAATGACTCACAAGGACTCACTGGAGAAGAGCCTAATGCTGGGAAAGATTGAGGGCAAAAGCAGAAGGGGATGACAGAGAATGAGGTGACAGGATGAAGTCACTGAAGTAGTAGGCTTAAGCTTAAATAGACTCCAGAGGATGGTAGAGGACAGGAAGGCCTGAAGGAACGTTGTCCATAGGGTCATGATGGGTCAGATACGACTTCGCAACTAACAACAAGAATAAGGTGACCAGATGTCCCGATTTTGGCNGACTCCAGGCCATTTTCATCTTGAATTCAGTTTGTTGCTCTCCAAACTCTGAATTAAATATGTAACTCCCTGAAGCTCCTGCTTTTTTCTATTAAAATAAATATGCTTCTTTCTGAAATCTTTGCCTCTCTCTCAAATTATTACTGTAAATTATTTGTGTGTTTGAATGTTGGTTTTAGATATTTGTACTATATTCCTGCTTATTTGATTGTTTTTCTACTTTAATTTCAAAGATTACTTAATAAATGGTTTGACTAGTTATTAATTATAGGTTCATTTTTGGGCCTCTGGAATCCCTGTGCTTGTTTAATAACCTCTAATGTAAAGATTCCCTCTACTGCCACCTTAAAATAGAACTTAATCTTGGGTTTTTATGAGAACCCTCATGTGTCTGATGAGATTTGCTCCCAGCTTTTTCAAACATCACTTTAAGGATCTCTTCTGCCACTTTATTTCCCAGAATTTCTCAGTAAATCAAGTATTCCTCATTAATATCATATATAAAAATAACTATAAATTTGTTGCCAAGAATAATCCAGCAATATGCATCATTATAGCAGAGATTTTATGATATTTTACAATAACACTTTTTATAGATTTTATTGTAGTAGTGAATTTATTAGCAAGACAGTGACTGTTGAAAAGTTAAAAAAAGATAAACTCATGATTTCTCTATACAATTGAGTTCTCATTGATTATGTTGAGAATAAACAACAGGTAGCTACATATCATATTTATCTTTTTTAATGTTTTAGTTTCATTACATTTTCTGTTCTTTTATGTATCATAAAGAATTATGGTCTATTATGACAAAGAACATTTGATTTTATATGCATACTTCCAAACTGTCTCCTTAGAATGTGGATGCAAATCTAATTTTGCCTTGCTATTGCACAACTTCTGATTATATTAAATCAGGAGGGGAACTAATAAAATAAATTCCTGGGTTTTTTTTTGGGGGGGGGGGAAATGGTGTAAATACAATCTTGACCTTTATTTTTTAACTTTAGTATTGATTTTGGTTTAGTACTTTAGAATGTGTTCATATGTGAACAGCTCCTGCAATTAACCAGAATGTTAGTGCTGACTGAGAATGTCAAATTCTTGACATCTGCTGGGGACACAGTCTGGCTTTGGAAAAAGCTGCACTAAAACATAAACTATGTATTACAAATTGCAGGGGAAACTGCTTGTAATATCAATGACTAGATAATTTATTTCAGAGGTGGATTGCACCAGGTTTGCATTGGTACGCCAAAGGGGTTCGTCAAATTTACTGTACCTTTTAGAACCCCTTTGTCCAGTGGGACAGTATCAGAACACTCCCTCCTGCCTGCCTCTCTCACTCTCGCTTACCCTGCCCATCCGCACCAAGCTTGCCCCACCCGCCGCTCATTGATTGGCTGGCTCACCAATCACCCCGCCTCTGAGAGGCAGTGAGAAGGGCTTTCTCATATGCCTTTCTTTCTCTGAAGGCGTGCGAGAAAGTTCCCTTCCCATTGCCTGAACGTGTGAAAGAAGGAAGCTGCAGGCTCATTTCCCTCAGCTACGCTATCTCCTTTCGTTCTCTGATTCTCGAACGAGTGAATGAGGCAGACCGAGAACAAAAGGAGACAGCATAGCCGAAACCAATGAGCCTGCAGCCTCCTTCCTTCACACGTTCTGGCAATTGGGGGGGGGGGGCTTTCTCGCATGCCTTTGGAGAAAGAAAGAAGGTGTGAGAGAAAGCCCTTGCCCATAGCCCAAATGTGTGAAGGAAGGAGGCTGCAAGCTCATTTGCCTTGGCTACGCCATCTCCTTCCATTCTCTGTCTCCCTACTTCACTCGTTCAGGCAGCACAGAACNCATTTATTTTTTAATGAATGGGGAATGGAGAAATATAATAATTAGAATATGCATCTGAATAGTAGTATTTCTCTTCCCCAAATATTGGTATTAAAAAAAAATAGATCAAAGCTATAGGATTCTGTCATTAACCTTCTTTAAATAAAGCTCATTACTTTGAATTTTCTGAGAGTAGATCAAAAAAGTTGCATCTCAACTCTCCCTTTGATCATATACTGGCTAATCTTAAAAACAACTACCAAATGCCAATGACCCATATATTATATTATTTTAATTTTCTGTGTTGTTTTTCTCACATCACCAAAAACTATTTACTTTTAGGCATTGTTTGGCTGTTGGCTGCTGCTGTTGGCTCACCAATGTGGCATGTACAAAGAGTGGAGGTATGGTTGTGTTGTACACTGGCATTTATTCAGGATTGTAATTTGGGATGTTTTTGTATAATGTGTTCAGGAGCTGAATATAATCTATAATGGAAAAATGTAAAGATCACACTTCATATCTGCAGGGTTTGATAAATGTCAAAAAGTAGAGCGATTGAAACTCTACCTTTATAAAAAAAATATGCATCACTTGTACAACACCCATAAAAATGGACTGAGCTTTAACCTCAGCATTGTGGCCATCATCTTGACTTTTCTGACTAAATGCTGCAGATACTCCTGCTATGTAGCATATAGTTAGAAATAGCATTTACGATAATTATGCACTGAATTGCTGAAGTATGAATCAAGTAAGTTAATGGAAATCATTATCCCGATTGTGGTTGCTAATTGAGGACTAACTTGTATATGCAGATTGCACGTAGAGTGCAATAAAATCACAGTTTTTTGCAGATAAAACTTGTAGCAGCCAGATTTGCTTATTAAGTACAAAATGGATGAGATGCATGCTAGAGTATTGGTCCATTTCCTGGTGTTTTATTGATATGTATAGATAAGTAGTCCAAGCTTGGATGACTTAATATGAGATCCACATTTGGGGTTATAGTTTCCTATAGCTGAATGTTCCATCTTTTGATATTTTTTCTTACAGATAATATATTGAAAAAGGAATCTGTACTAATATCTGCTTAATGTCTTGCAGAACAAATATGACTTCCTTTATGAAAAGAAATATGTTTGCTGCTTGGAAGAATGGCCAAGTCCTGTCCACCAAAAAATTTATGCCACTTTTATTTTGGTCATTCTTTTCCTTCTCCCATTGATGCTAATGCTATTGCTTTATAGCAAGATTGGTTATGAGCTCTGGATTAAGAAAAGAGTTGGAGATGCTTCTGTTCTCAGGAGCATTCATGCAAGTGAGATGTCTAAAATTTCTCGGTTGGTACATAAAATTTTATCTTTATGTTTGCTATGTTGAAAAAGGTTGTTATATTGCTTTCTGTAACTTCAATATAATTTTATATTATATATTTATATTTATAATATTTATATTATAAATTA